CTGGCAGGAGAACAACTTTGCACTGCCCTGAGAAGAGCCCTATTGAGCCTTGTTCGTCAGTGGGCAGCAGAGCCAGTTACCTGGACTCCAAAATCTGGGATGACTGGAATGGAGAAGAGAAGGAAGATGAACTTCCAGAGATTCTTCCTCTGTCTCAGAGGTTGGCAGCTGCAGCAGGGGCCAGTCGGACAGATCCTGTCAAGACTCCTGGTGAGAGCTTGTATTGATACTAGATTTATTGGGCTAGATTGAACTGCTTTTATTTTAGTGATTATCTTACCTGTGATGCACTTGACACATTGAAAGGGTTTTTGGGCTTTCTGATGCAAAATAGTTGGCAGGGCCAGGCACAAAGAAGGTGCAGGCATTTGCTGTGGGAAAGAGCCTGTCCAAATGTGGGATTCCTGGAGTGTAGCCATGCATGTTTCATTTTCACTAGTCCTTTGGTAGTGACTCCTTGCAGAAGCTGTGGGTTCATGGATAGAGAAAAAACAACCTGAACAGAACAAAACACTGGCTCCAGCCTGCATGCCAGTGAATTGATGAAATTTATATTGCAGTATCTAATTAAATATATTAATTATGCCATACTAAATTATTAGTTTAAGGGGTGATTAGAACATGATGTGTGAGACTGGCTGTGCTTCACAGTATCAGTAAGCTGGTATCATTAAATCAGTATCTAACTCCAGACCCCAGTAGCTTGATTTGCTTAATTTTTATGTATCAAGTCTCTGTTACGAAATTTTCTTCCTGGGAGAAGGACCATTGCAAAGAATTCAGTAAACATAGTTTTAACTGCTTTCTAAATGTTGCCTGTTCTAACAAAGCCCTGAATGGCCTCACTTTCAGATGTGACATATGTAAAGTCAATGAAAACCAAGTATCTCGATTAAGGAGGGAGGAAAAAGTGCTGACTGTCCAATATGAAACTGAGTAATAACTAAGGTAGCTTATAAGGAAGTAGTCGCTATTAAACAATTATTAGCTAATACTAGATTTCTGCCACTAAGAGGAGAAATTGCCAGCTATTTTAGGCCCTTTCTGTACTGATTCTCATCACAGTAATTGCATTCTGCTGCAGAATCTTCCTGTCAGGAGAACAACAGGTCCCCCAGCACTCCAGTGACACCCATGCCAGCTTATTCCATCATGGAGACCCCGGAGCTGAAGAAGGAGCTGAGCAGGTGAGCATTACCTCCCCCAGGATGGCTCCTTACAAGAGGAACCTGCTGGCAGGTAGTGTGAAAGAAGTGGAACCATGCTGAAGCTCCAGCCAGTGCTTTCTGAGGTCACATCACACTTTTCCAGCTGCACCTCCTGGCCTGAGCCTCTTGCTGAGCTGTGACAATGGAAGGTGCAGTGTTATTGTAACCTAAATTCCCACCTTCTCTTTCAGATTCGGTGTCCGTGCTCTCCCAAAACGCCAGATGGTGTTGCAGCTGAAGGAGATATTCCAGTACACTCACCGGGATGGGGACTCTGACTTTGAGGATGAAATCCCCTATTCCCAGCCCCTCCCACAGAAGTCCCCAGCCAAACGGCCGAGGCAGGCAAAGACAGGCCGGGCTGCAGGCAGGAATCGCGCCGGCGCCCCAAGGGTTGTGGGCAAGAGGAAACAGCTTGCCAAGGCTTCTGCAGTGCTCCCTAGGGATGAGGCTGATGGTGCATCCTGTGGAACAGGCTGTGCTGCACCCAAGGACAGAACTAAAGTAACACATCACCCAACAGGAGCCAAAGAACAGGAAAGGCCATCGGTGTCCCTGGCAGCTGATGGCGAGGAGCTCCCGGCATCCCAGGAGTCAGCAGGTTCTTCGGTGGATGGAAGTGACATCTCCTTTGGTTCACAGAGGTGAGGCAGTGAAATCCTAGGCAAAACACTCAGGGTGCAGGGCAGAGATGAGGTAGGAATGAGGCAGACAGAGGTGAGTGGCCCTGTAGCCTACAGTGGCCCTGCCGCCTCCTTGAGTGTGTCACATGGGAGGTCAGCACACTCCTACGAAAGAAGCAGGCTTTGGATTTTCAGTTTCTACTGAACTAGTCTCAGAACATAGAAGGGCTGCTTATGAGAAAGGCCCAAATCTGGTATGCCTGGTTTGCAGGTCAGTGACATGAAGCACTCCATGGTGCCTGAGCACCTGCAGCTGGAGTTGGGAGAGGACAGCACAGCACCCCTTGGCAGACCCTGCCAGGAGGGAAGGGCCAGGAGCCAGGAATTCCATACGGCTCTGGGCTGGGCAAGTTGGACCAGCGCTGTCCTGGCTGTGATGGGAAGTTTGCAGAAGCCCTGCCATGTTCTGCCTCGTTCATTTTGTGCGTGCTAGTAGTGCAGGGTCTGTGATCCCACAGAGGGAAGTCGTAGGGCTTCACTGTCAGGGATGTGGGGAGCTCTGGTCCTGTTCTTGATGGCCTTGACCTGTGGTTTGTTTTGTCCTGCTTTTAGTTCCTTTGTAAATGGATTTGAAACCTGTGCTTTTGAGTCTGAGGAGGAGGAAGAGGAATTTCCAGCATCTCAAGCAGCAGCTCGGGAAGAGGAAAAGCTGGAGGCAGTAAGGTGCTACATCCGCTCAAACACAGCCCTGTACAACAGGATTCTCTTCTATGAGCCCATCGAGCTGGCTGATCTGCATGCAGAGCTCAAACAGAATGGCATCAAAATTTCCAAGGCAAAGCTGCTGGACTTTCTGGATTCTCAGTGCATCACATCTACCATGGCCAGAGCCCGGAAGGAGCAGGAACAGAAAAGGAAGGAGAACAGAAAACAGAGAAGACGATACCGAGTGAAGTCCGCTCCTACCCGCTGAAACTTCTGTTGTTGGAGGCCTTGCTGGAAAGCTGGAAAGCCCATTCCCAGCTGGTGCTCCAGCAGCAGGCAATGGGTGGAGCACTGCTGCTCCTCAGGGTCCGATCCCAGGTGACATCCCGGAGAACAAGCCTGAGCCCCTCTGCTCCGATTGCACAAATGTCCCATGGCTGCCCTGCCTTCAGCACACAGCTCACCTGAAACCTCTTTTCACCCAATTTGACTATTGTGCCTTTTCTTTCCATTTTTCTAATAGATTTTAGGTCCACAACTTTTCTTTGTGCTGGTGCTTCCCTTAGTGACACGTGCCAGGACCTGTTCTCTGGGTTTGGCTGTGAAATGCTTCACCCTTCGTGGATTCAGTCCACTCTGTCAAGCACTGCCTGATTACAATCCTGTGACTTCCATCTTCATTTCTTCAGCACAGTTTGCACTGCTGATTTTTAAGGCAGGGAATGCTGTGAAAATACAGAAAAGGCGTTTTTTCTTGCTTCACTTGGCAATCTGTACTAAAACTCCTAAATTGGTTTCTGAAATAGCTGCAGAACAGGGCAGGGGTTTGTTCTGTTCCCTTTGTGACACCTCCCAAAGAACACCCCATGGCATGGGAAAGCCCCCAGCAGAGATGTTTTTAGGAAAATATTTAAGTGAGCACTGGACCTTTTCAGCACTTCTCACAGCTTGAGATAAACTCTACTCCTTGGCTCAGTCCCATTGCCAAACTGGAGTAGTCTCAGTTGTAAAATGTCTGGGATTCCTGGGGAAGTCTTGGACCCTAAATTCTCATATTTTATATATTGACCTTCACAACAACTTCTGAGTATTCTGGCAGTTCTAAGTGTGCAAATGCTCACTGAAAACCACAGATACAACACAAAATGAAGGCAGATTTATAAATACCTTTGTGTATGTTGAATATATATATATATTTTTATACAGAATTTCCTTTTGATTTACATTATATACAATAAACAATTTAAATAATGTTCATTCTCATATGGAACAGTAAACAAACATAGGACTGTATAGAAAGCATGAACTTTATTGAACTAGACTACTCTTCCCAGCTTCAACTACAGGGCAAGAACACGAAGCTTATGCCTAAAAGACCTAAACTTGAACTCTTCGAAGAACTTTAACTGGGGCTGCAGAAGACTTCTGGGAAACCTATTTTTCTAATAACAAAAGGGGTTCCTAACACCTATGGGCAGGAATGTCCCAGTGCCCAATGCTGGCTTGCTTTCCATATCATTCCAGTATAAAATTTCTTCTGGAGGCATTTTATGTCAGATGTCTAATGGAATGTAAAGTGCCTGGGAGAGGTGATGCAGCCTTTGGCAGAGCCATCCCTGTGATTACCCACGGAAGATGTGGACTCCAAATCACTGCAAACATTCAAGTCCAGGTTGGATGGGGCTTGGAGCAACCTGGGATAGTAGATGTCCCTGCCCATGGCAGGGGGTCGAATGGGATGGGTTTTAAGGTTCCTTCCAACCCAAACCATGTGTGATTGCTAAGAATTTAGATTCATCCCCAAGATTGGCACAATCCCACTGCTCTCTTCACAACACTTTCTAGACCTGGGTGACTCCAGCCCAGATTGGGCACCCATATCCTAGAAGAACATGGAGCCCAGATACAGATCTCCAGAGTTCTGGTGTCCTGTGGAAAACTTCTTCCCTCAGAAAGCGCTGGCTGCCATTGCATCCTGTTCCCCTGGGCCTCTGCAGTGAAGGCTCCGTGTTCCCGCCTGAAGCCCTGCTAAGGTCTCAAAGGGAATTCCCCCACGGCGGCCGTGGCGGCTCGCCCAGCACACGGGGAAAGGCTCGGGACCGAGCGGGCAGCGGGAGCCGAGTACCGAGCCCTCAGGGGGACCGAGGCCGCCGCCACCTCAGCCCCGCGCCGCCATCGCGGGCCGCCCTCACGGCCGGCGGGGGCGCCATTGGCCACCATTGGCGGTCACGTGACCGCGCCTCAGCGGCCGCGGAGCCGCCGAGCGGAGCCAGCGCGGGTGAGGGGCCGGGACGGGAACAGCGGCGGCGCTGGCACCGGGGACACCGGAGGGGTGGGGCAGGACCCCTTTCAGGACCCCCGCAGAGCCAGCCCCTGCTCGGTAGGTAAATCCCAGCTAGTCTGACCCGCCCCGTGTCTTCCCCCCCCGGAACACGTCCCCTGAAAGGAGCTGGAAATGATCTCCCACATGGATCAGAAGGAGGAACGGTGGTTCTCCCACCTCCGCGCCCACCGGGGGAAGTCTGAGACAGTGCTGAGCAGCACTTGTGCAGGTAAGGTGATGGTACAATCATGCAGTCATTAAGGCTGGGAAAAGCTCACTAAGATCGTGGAGTCTGCCCATTAACCCAGCGCATATGTGAACCTGTCGGTGAGAAAAAACTGCTGCAGGATTCCCAGACCCTACCGGAATCCATAGGATTGGTGATACCAGGATGGACCACGGTCCTCCCAGTGGTCCCTAGCAGCAGGGACCAGAGAAGGCAGACAGGCTGTGGTGTGTTCCTGGATGCTTTCCCAGGCCCTGGCACTCTGTGACTTCAGAAACTACTAAAGCAGACATGCAATGTCTCCGTATCTCACAGCTCTCTCTGTATTTTCTTGCCGTCTGAAGTTGTGCATGTTTTAGCATCGGTGACAGCTTGCAGCCAGTAGTTCCACAGCACATTCAGCTGCTCTGTGAGTTGCTGCTTTCTTAGTTTACTTTGAAGCTGCCTTCTGATAGCTCACTTCATGTCAGTTCTTAATTCAGAGCAGATGGTGCAGGAGGGATCCCCACCCACCCCACGGGCCACTTGTGGTTTCATAGTCTTCTGCAATACCTCTATCAGCTGTATTCTTTATCTCCAATGCAGAAGCTGTTCTGTGCCTTTTATTATTCATGTCATGGTCTGTATCTTCCTCAGCTCTTTTGGAATTTCTCTGAAATGGAGGATCCATCCCTGCCCTTGCACACAGTCAAGCTCTGGGGTTTGAGCTGCAAGGGCACCATTACATTTTCTTTATTCTCTCTTTTCCCCTGAAAATCATTAACATTTGATGAGCTATTTTGTCTGCCTGGGAGCTGCAGTTTTCATCCATCTGCTCCAAGGGGCTGTTCCAGAATGATATCAAGAATATCTGAGGCCCATCCATAGAGGGGCCCTCTATAGCAGCTCCTGGTATAGAGGCTGTTCCCCTCTGCACTTGTTTACCTGCAGTAAATGTCCTCTCTCATTCCCCTGTCACCTGGTTAGTGAGTAACCATAAGGCTCTGATAGTTTATAGTCAGCCTTTGTGTCTGAATAACAGAATCATCAGCACCTCCCCTTTCCCTTTCTTCTCACCTCATGAGGGTCATTTATCCACTGCAGCTGAGTTTCCTTACCAGTTTTGGCCAAGGATTAATGTCTTTAAGAATGCCTTTGGTCTCCAGAACTTCCTTTTGCTAAAATTTGTGACATCTCTGAAGAACTCCAAGTGGATTATCATGAGAAAAAGATCCAAGGGTACATTTAAGGTGATATTTAGGTTTTTCTCAGTGTCTGCTCTTACTCTGCTTACCTGGAGCTTGACTCGGATCTTATCACTGGCAGCCTTGGGCATATCAGAGGCTTGAGATCAACCCAAATTGACACAGGCTGAGGAAGAACCACACTCCTTGCTCCAGTTGTGTTTTTTTGGGTTTTTTTTCCCAGTTCAGCCTTACACTTCCAGTATGAATTCCTGAGCATTGTGAACTTATTCTCCTTTCACTTAAAACACAGTGGGGTCTTGGCATCATGATTTTGATCAAACCCTTTACAGCCAACAGCAACAGAGCTGTTGCTCCTAGGCTCACTGTCTGCTCAGTAAGTCTGACCCACAGGGCAAGGACTTCACAATGGGCTGCCAGAAATGTCCTTATCCTGTCTTTGGATGTCCCTCTTCTCTTTTCCTCCAGATCCCATCTGGATGGAGTAGCTGCAGACACATGGCTGTCAATGTTCCAGTTTCTGTTACTCTCATGGAACCATTTTAAGGAAAACTATATAAAGTGTCAGTGTCACACCAAGCTACTGTAAAAGGAGCTCACTCAGGAGTTCACTGTGAAATCACATTGTGTTGTTTTGTTACACTGCCCAGAAAGAGAAAGATCAGATGTGTACTTATATCATCTGGGCTGTAACTCTGGACTCTTCTTTTCTTAGTTCTGCAGTGCCTCTCCTGCTCCAAGACAGCACTTCCTCATCCCAGTTCTGTGTGCTCTCCCACACATCCATGGGAGCATAAAGCTGCCTTTCTTCTGCCTCTAAGAGTGGCATAAGCCGTGTTTGAGGTTGCTGATTTCATCCCTTAGTGCCTCCTTTGGGAGCACCTCTCTCTGCAGCACCAGCAGGTCAGGGATGTTGCATTTGTTCTGCTGAGTAGGACAGTTCTTTGTGATACTTCCATGACTCTCAGTTCAGCTTTTAATAACTTTTCAGATATCCTAGAGGAGCAGCCATCTTTCCCATTCAAGCACTAAACTTTTATCCCTAGTATGCCAATAATTTCAGTGGATTCAGGTTCTGTCAGAGCACACAGGGCTGTTCCCAGAGTTTGTTTGTGTGAACATACTGAGAAATCCACTGTGTAGTTTGAAAGGAAATGTCAGAACTTTCTATAAGAGTCAATCTGGTGAATCTTTGTAATTTGATCCCTTTTGATTTCCCCTATCTAAAGTTTCCTGTCTGTGACTTCTATCCAGATTCTTGTTTTATTGCAGCTGAAGGTGGGATTGTGAGCAAAAAAGAGAATAATTCCCACCAAGGCATCCCTGGGCCGGCAGAGCCTGAGGTTTTACTCTCAGGACTCTCCAAGGAGAACAATTCCCAGAGTTCTGCTGAGGACCCAGTCGTCCCACAGAGGTCAGAAAGTATTCAGAGTCCTCTGGAGAAGACGCAAAGCCAAGCAATGCTGTGTGGGAAAAGTTTCAGGAAGCTGCCAGATATTATCCAGCAGAGAAATTCTTCTGTGGAGAGACTGATAATATGTGGGGACTGCGGGAAGAGCTTCCGTGTGAGTTCCAACCTCATCCAGCATCGGAGAATCCACACTGGAGAGAAACCCTTCTCCTGCACCGAGTGTGGGGGGCGTTTCCGGCAGCAGTCCCATCTCATCCAGCACCGGAGGATCCACACGGGAGAGAGGCCCTACGAATGCTCCGAGTGCGGGAAGAGCTTCAGCGTGAGCTCGAAGCTGCTCCGGCACCAGGTGACCCACACCGGGGAGAAACCCTTCAGGTGTGCCGAGTGCGGGAAGAGCTTCTCCGGGAACTGCCAGCTGGTGCAGCACCGGCGAGTGCACACCGGAGAGAAGCCCTACACGTGCGGCAGCTGCGGGAGGAGCTTCAGCGTGAGCTCGGCCCTGGCGCGGCACCGGCGCGTCCACACCGGGGAGAAGCCCTATGTCTGTGCCGAGTGCGGGAAGAGCTTCAGCGTGAGCTCGGCCCTGGCGCGGCACCGGCGCGTCCACACCGGGGAGAAGCCCTATGTCTGTGCCGAGTGCGGGAAGAGCTTCCGCCAGAGCTCCGAGCTCATGAAGCACCAGCGGGTGCACACCGGGGAGAAGCCGTACAAGTGCACCGAGTGCGGGAAGAGCTTCACCGGGAGTTCGGCCCTCATCCAGCACCGCCGGTTCCACAGGGGCGAGCGGCCGTACGGATGCTCCGAGTGCGGGAAGAGCTTCACGGTGAGCTCCCACCTCATCCAGCACCGCCGCTTCCACACCGGGGAGCGCCCCTTCGAGTGCACCGAGTGCGGGAAGAGCTTCCTGTGGAGGTCGGCCCTGCTGCGGCACTGGCGGGTGCACAGCGGGGAGCGGCCGTACGCCTGTACCGAGTGCGGGGACAGCTTCAGGCAGAGCGCCCACCTCACCCAGCACCGCCGCACCCACAGCGGGGAGCGGCCCTACGCCTGTGCCGACTGCGGGAGGGGCTTCGCCGTGAGCTCCGCGCTCCTGCGGCACCGGCACGTCCACAGGGCAGGACAGCCCTAGGCTCGCTCTGATCCCGGGGTCAGCGCTCTCTCCATTGACTGCCCGGCTCACGGAGTGGGAAGGCACTTTGTTTTAGGAGAACGAGTCCTAAAGGAGAGGGGTGCAAATAGGGGAGAGTCAGTGCGAGGAGCTGCCGGTCTGGAGAGGAGCGTGGACACAGCAGGGGCATTTTTTGGAGGTGCTCAGAGAGAAAGCTCTTGGGAGGGAAAGGAAGTGCTTTAAAAAGGCTGGAATGTGCTTCGTGTATTTCAGAGGAAGGCAAATGACTCTGTGCCCACATGTGGACAATGAATACAGTGAAGCACACGGACCATTTTAGAGCCTGCAACATTGGTCAACAAAAGCTCCTCATCTGTGTTCAGAGGCGCTGAGCTCCCTCCCTCCCTCAGCCCACGGGCTGGAGCCGAAGCCCAAAGAAGCACCCTCGGCCCCCTGCGCTGGCTACCCGTGTGTCCCCGCGGCCCTGCAGGGGCTGTGGGGCGGCAGCTGCGCTGGACGCCGTTGCTGCAGCCGCCAATAAAGCCGCCGATACCGCAACGGAGCCGCCATGTTTCCTTCTCGGCCGCCGTTTCCGGTTGCCAGGGCGCGGGTTTGCGTGCGCATGCGCGGGGTTCGCGCTGTTTTCGCGTCGGGGCGGGGCCTTGGGCGGTGCCGCCCAGTTTGGCGCGGGGCGTGGTCAGTACCACCACGTGACTGCCCTGCCGTTCCCACCCGTCGGCGGCTTCTGCGCGTGCGCGGCCTCGCGCGCCGGCCGCCTGTGAGGGGGGTGTGGCTCGCGCTGCGTCTCGGCCGCCTCCGCCAATCGCGGGCTCTTGCCGAGCGCGGCTCGCGATTGGCCGCGCGGTGACCGCTCGGCAATAAAGCCGGGCCGGCCGAGCGCGGCCTTTGTCTCTCACCGGGGCCGAGGGCGGCGGCGGCAGCGGTGAGTGCGCGGCGCGTCCCTATGGCAACGCGGTCGGGCCTGAGCCCCGCGGGTCTTCCCCTGCCTTGGGACTCGCCCTGCGGTGCTCTGCCCGCTCCCGGCGGCGAGTGGGTCGGGAAGCCCTCCCGGACCGCCCCAGAGCCGTATTTCCGCGCCGTGGACCGGGCTGTCGCGGCCGACATGACCGCGCGGGCCGGGCCGGGCCGCCCGGGCCCACAACTGCCGACCGCGAGCCCGTGCGGGGCCGGCGCTGCCCACCCGCCGGGCCGGCCGTTCTCAGCCCTCCCTGCTCCTGCCGTGTGTCCCCACGAGCGAGCGCCTGCCCAGCGGCCGGCGGCGTGTGCCAGCACCGGGCCCTCAGAGCCCCGCAGTGACTTTGCACGGCTGCTCGTGAGCGACGCCTGGGGGCTTTAGGGACTGGAGCCCTGCGCTGCGTGCTCCCCGTGGCGATGGAGCCACTTGGCTTTCCCTTGGCCCTGCAGAGCTCGGAGAAGCACTTGGAGAACGAAAGCCTCTTGCTATTCCTCCTTTTCCATTATTGGCAGCTGTGCTGTTCAAGCCACAGCACCTACACGCAGCACCACATTGCACATATCAGCCCGAAGTGCCTGTCACTGGCCCTTATTGGCGTGTCCCAGGCACAGCTGACAGCCGATGTGACCGCCAGAGCAAGCTCTGTCTCTCCGCTGAACAAAGGCTGTTTGGTATAACTGTGTGTGTTTGTCACAATGTGTTCTTCCTCAGCCCAGTTCCAGCCCTGAGTCTCATAACCGGGTGAGAAATTAGGTGTTTGTTGGGCTGCCTGACACAAGGGCCACCACCAAAGGGCAGAACTGGACAAGGTCTTTGAGCTCACCAGGAGCTTCCTTTGCTCAGTTTGTTGAGGTGCTGGGCTGCAGCTCTAAAGGAGAGAAATAGTGTTTGTGTGGGCACTGTTAGAAGTGTCTGGGACTTGAATTACTGCCTCAATTTAGGCTGTGTCCAGGTGAAATCTTCAACCTTCCTAGGATCAGGTAATGTGTTAATTTAGTCTATGAGGTGCCATTTCCAGCAGCAGCCAGTGCCAAATCCCTCCCCAGAAGGAGATGGAGATGAGAATCTCTCCTGCTGAGATTGCCAGGTAACCTCTGGGATGATTCTTCAAGCCTCTAGGCCTGGAGTTTTGAGGTTTGTTTCTGCTGCAGTGATGGTAGGTGCAGCCACACTCTGAGCTTTCTTGTGTGGGGAAATGCCTTGAAATTGCATGAAAGTTAAGCAGCAGATATAAATTCAGTACTGCCTGGGTGTTTGTGAGTTACCAAATCTGTTCCAGAGTGCCCAGGCAAAGCTAGGGCTTCCAGGCTCCTTCCCTGCAGCAGCAGTACATTCCTTCAAAAGGTTTGGGATTATTTGCATTAAATGTCTTCCTATGTTGAGAAGAACAGCTGTGCATCTGGGACATACAGCTTGGTGAGGAGATGTGTGTAGGGACAAACTGCACACATCCAGATGAGCTAGAGGTGTTTTCTCAGCAGGTTCAAACACTGTAATTGGGAAAAAAAAATGTTTGGAATGCTGAGGTGTCCTGTACCAAACCTCCTCCCCGCTCTGCAGTCCCAACTGGTAGCTGTTGGATTGCTCCCAGGCAGGCTCTGTCTGGGCACTGGGAGGTGCCCTGAACATCAGCCAGGTCCTGGATGAGCAGAGCTCCCTGCAGCAAATGAAATGATGTTCCAGCCTCTGCAGAGGAGGTGGCACTGCCTGAGCCTCCTCTGTGGCATGTGGGGCATGCCTCCATTCAGAGGAGCAGAGAAACCAGGGCTGTGACCACAAACTGGGGCTGTAGTTGCCAGTTTTTGAGTAGAAGCAACGGTGTGTAGTGGTAGGAGACACAATGGCTGTGACTGCCTTTCCTCCCAGGTGTGCAGTAAGCCAGCACGGGGAAGGATGGGGTTGGTTTGTGCTGACTTGTCTTTGGGGAGGTGTCTGTGCTAGAGATTATATCACAAAAAATCTCAACTTCTACATTTTCCTGCATGAGTTCTGCCCTCACCTGGGGCTGCAGGGGCTGGTGTTATCACTGCCCTGCTCACTGCCACAGAGGAGAACTTGTCAGGCTGAGCCCTGCAAAACATGCCAGGGGAAATACAAGTCTGAGAAAGCACCAAAGGCCTTCAATGACTTTTTCCATGGTGTCCCCTGCTCCCAAGAGCAGACTGTGCTCCTGGGACAGTCATTCACTATTCCCATTAGTTGTGCTTCTACAACACTGGTAACAGGGTTGGGTGAAAGCTTCTGAGACCCCACGAGGTTCTCTGTGTGACACAAACAGCCAAGTTCTGTGTGAACACGAGTGTGCTCAGCCTGTGGGAGCGGAGGTTCTGATGAGTGAGCAGACAGGATGATCTCAGGGCCATCTTTGTCTGGCCATTGGCAACCTTGAGCCATTGCTGCTGTTAACCGCTAATTTTTGAGGCCTGATTGGTGTGTTCCTTTGGACTGGATTTGATGTCAGCCTTGAGGCCTCTCCCAACGGATGAGTGGGGCTCAAGTGCTCTGTAGCTCTGCTCTCAGCTGCTGCTTTGTATCAGTGGCTGTTGCAGGTGTGGGGAGACAGCACACCTCACCTCCAGGACTCTGGCTTTCTAGGAATATAAGATAAATTTGAACTAGTTTGTCTGCTTAGCTCCTTGCTCCTCTCCCAAGGCTTCCTGAAAGATGGTGGTGGTGGTGTTGTTCTGCACAAAGCTGATTACAGGTCTATTTTATAAATGAGGGGCCTGGATTTCTGTGCTCAGCCAATGTAATCCAGGTGTCTTGTTCCTGCTCCTGGGTAAGGTTTGTGCATCTTGTTACATCCAAGGAGATTTTATTTCCTTTTGCAAACGAGGAGGGGGAACCCAGTTACTTATGGGATTTGAAGTAAATTCTGCCAGGCAGGAGAGGAGGGTGTGAGTGGGAGCAGGAGTTGTCTGCAGCTCACTCTGCTTGGAGAGTGGCCCAGGAAAGGCAGAGCAATGAAATCTGCCCCTGCTTTGGAAGTTCCTCTATTCTGTCACAGGGAATGTTCTTGTTTCCCCTGTGAGCTGCCTGACTTCAGAGCTCAGCTGACCCAGTTCACCACTGCCTTCTTCCAGGGAAGCTTTGTACTGGTGTGGAAATGTAGTTTATTCTTCATTCTGAGTGAAGGAGAGGGGTTTCTCTTTCCAGTTACTCTGCTCAGAGTGTGACATTGAGGGAAATGTTTGGTAGCACCAGGGGAAAGCAGCCTGCTCACAAGTCTAGTGCAGATTCCCAACACAGAGGTCTCGTCTTCAGCCAGGAGTTGTCCTGAAGGGGGATGCTGAATGCAGGCTGCTGTGTTGTAGGTCTCCTCTGAGGTTAATGTTTTGTGAACTGGGTGTCAGTGTTGAAGTTCACTTGAGGTAGCTGAACAGAACAGGCAAATCTACGTCCTTGTAAGTGCCTGGTGCGAGGTAGAAACAGCCAGAGGCTGCTCCTGACTGCTCAGAGAGGTCTTTGCTGGACTCTTCAACATTTCACACCCATTCCTTTGCTAAGGCAGCTTCCCCTGAAAATCCCTCTCTGATTTTGCTTTTCAGACTGATCCCCAGCAGTGACCACAATGCCATCAGCCCTGGAGAGCCCCGAGGCGGGAGAGGAAGACATCCTGCACTATGATGAAGTGGAAGATGACTCTGTCAGGTGAGTTCTGTCCTACACAATGGCACAGACATGGCCTTGGGCAAGGCAAGAGATCTTCCAGGTGAAGGAGTGATCCTCATCTGAAAGAAGTGAGGGACCTCAATAAGTGATTAATCAAATATATGTGCTGTGAGATCTCTTCAGTCAAACTGGACTGTGAGGGTGGAAGGGATGGGAAAGAGTAATCTGTCAGGGCTGACAACAAACAGTTGGTTTTTTAGTCTCTACTATGGAAGTCACATTTCAGAAACACTGACTATTTGGCAGCTCTGTTTGTGTCTTCCTGGCCAAGGAGAGCCAGTTTTTCATGGCTTGCTGGGCAGACTTCTTGTTTTGAAAATTTATTCTAGATGTGAACTCTGCTGTGGTGCACTCTTGCCTTTGCAGAATACCCAGGTCTAGTCAAGGACATTTTCTAGGAAGTTACTTTAAAAAACAAATTCACACACGTGTTCTCAAAGCCAAGGCTTCAGACTTTGAAAACAGGAAGGGTGACTAGGGTGCTTCGTAGAAGACCTAGACAAGCTGGTTGACTTCTTTGACTTGACAGGCTCAGCTTCATGAGAAGTTAATGTTTGCTGGCTCTGCTGGCACATTCAGTGGGTCTGGAGTGTTCAGTGTCTCTCTTAAAGCTAACAGGAATGTGCTAGCTGTAGCAAACTAGTGATAAAAACTGTAATGTGCACTTGGGCATGATTTGAGTGAGTTTGTGTTGATATTGTACCTGAAAGGTGGCTGTAGCCAGGTGGGGGTCAGTGTCTTCTCCCAGGCAGCCACTGACAGGGGAGGACACAGCCTTAAGCTGCACCAGGGGAAGTTTAGGTTGGACATCAGGAAAAAATTCTTCAGCTGAAAGAGTGATTGGGCACTGGAATCATCTGCCCAGGGAAATGGTGGAGTCACTGTCCCTGGACATGTTTAAAAAGGACTGGATGTCCCACCCAGTGCCATGGTTAATTGATGAGGAGGTGTTAGGTCATAGGTTGGACTTGCTGATCAAAAAGATCTTTTCCAGCCTAGTTCATTCTGTGACTCTGTGTCCAGGTAGGTGCAGTGCCTGTAGCTTAAAATCATAGATTTTAATGTTTTGGGTCTTCTTTAAAACAAGACACCTTGTGGAAACTTGAAAAAACAGTATAATTCAGGAGAAATAAACTTCTTAAGGGTGTTTTTGCCCTGTTTTGCCATTCAGTTCTCATCTTGATATCCAAGTTGGGAAAGCTGGGGACCTACCTGAGCCTTTTTTCTTCTCCAGCAGAAGATACCACCAAGGCCCCCATGCTCTTTAGCCTGCCCTGGGCTAAAGCTGTAGTTGCTCCCCATATGCTCAAGGCTTCCTTGTATAGTGTTGTTGGGCTCACGTGGATGAGAAGGAGAAGTCACGGTGCAGGGATCAGAGGGTCCTTGGCAGTTGCTTCAGCATCCTGGGCCAGAGCCCCTGGTAAGCCCCAGCCCTCGTGGAGTGGCAAATCTGCTTGGCACATGGGCTGCTGCCACCCTGCTGCTGCCTCCAGCAGGTGCCAGCTCAGCCTGAGGGGTGTTCTGAGGGTCCCACCTTGTACATTCTCTAAACTGGGATGGCAGTGGGGGATCCCTCCAAACACAGCAAAGATAAACTCATTGCTGCATGAGGCAGTGGGGTGAAAGGAGCTTTCCCGTTTGCCTGCAGCCCCATGGACCTTTCAGAGCTGCTGAAGGAGGGGACGAAGGAATCGCATGACCGTGCAGAGAACACTCAGTTTGTCAAGGACTTCCTGAAGGGGCGCATCAAGAAGGAGCTCTTCAAGGTGAGTGTTGCTCTGCTCCCCATCTCTTTGATGCACCCAGTGACTGATGCAGACTCCAAGGCAGAGCCCTACAGCCCTGGGTGTGCTGTGGTGGTAGATAGAGCCTTTGCTCCTTGAAGCAGTGCTTGCCTGGCTCTCCAGGCTGGTTTTGTGCCAGGCCTGGGGTTTCTTATTGCTTACCCCACTTCCATGCAGGCAGGAGTAGTCATGAGATGAGTTGTGCCTATCCAGTGAGCAGCTTCTCACACGAGCTGTGCTCTGTCTGCAGCTGGCCACCGTGGCCCTTTACTTCACCTACTCTGCTCTGGAAGAGGAGATGGATCGTAACAAGGACAACCCAGTCTTTGCTCCTCTGTACTTCCCCGTAGAGCTTCACCGGAGAGAAGCTTTGGCCAAAGACCTCAAATATTTCTATGGGGAAGACTGGAAAGAAAAGATCCAGTGTTCAGAGGCAACTCAGCAATATGTGGACAGAATCCATCATGTGGGACAACACGAGCCAGAGCTGCTGGTGGCTCATGCTTACACACGCTACATGGGGGACCTCTCAGGTGGCCAGGTGCTGAAGAAGGTAGCCCAGAGGGCCCTGAAGTTGCCCAGTACTGAGGAAGGGATCCAGTTCTATGTGTTTGACAGCATTTCCAACGCACAGCAGTTCAAGCAGCTTTACAGAGCAAGAATGAATGCTCTAGACTTGGACAAGAACACCAAGGAAAGGATCGTGGAAGAGGCCAACAAAGCCTTCAGATTTAACATGCAGGTACTAAAGAAATCCCTTGATCTCCTGTGTGTGTAGTTTAGGTCTGGCTTTTAGGTCTGGCTCAGATTAATTCAGTCACACCACTCACCCAAGCAGTGGTCTGGGGCTGAGACCATCACAGCCCCTCCTTGAGGGGCTGGGATTCTAGTTGAACTAGCTCTTTCACTGGCTTCTGGAGCTGGTGTCAGGCAGGAATTCCTCCCCTGCTCCAATACCACAGCCAAGCCCTTTGATTAAGGCAAAATTAATATGGCTTCAAGATTATTTCCATAGGCTGTGTGGCTGTGAAGCAGTGAGGGGAGCAGAGCTCTTGTGCCAAGGAAGCCTCAAACGGTTTGTGTGCTGCTCTGCCCTGGTGCCAATTCATATCCTGTCTCAGGTCTCACTTGTTGCCCTATGGTCAAAAATGTCTGGAGCCTCCTGTTCCTCCCATAGCATTTGCCTCTCATCAAACCTGACTGAGCTACTGTTTGCCCCAGGGGATGAACACAGATTTAGCTACTGGATGGAAGTTTTAATCTTGTTCTTGTAGCAGGTCAGTGTGATTTAAACTGGCCAGAAACGTGGTGAGGTGTGGTTGGCTCCTTTGTCAGGATCCTTACAGAATCCCATGGCAGCAAGAGGGGCTGTCTGACCACTGCAAGAGCTGGGATTCTCCAAGGATCAGGAGGGAGGGAGGGGGAGACCCTGTTGCCCCACACTCCCACCCACAGCAGGGTGGTGCTGCCTTGCTCCTGGCTCTGACTGAATGCTCTTGGGATAGGCTGTGCCTTCCTGGAGCTGCAACGTGTGCCAGGTGTCACCATAGCTCTGCAGTGGATGTCCCAAAAGGTGTCTGGGGACAGGGAAGCAGGAGTGGTGCTTGCCTGTTCCCCAGATGATTCCAGGGGTCTGGCTGAGAGCTGCCTGGCTCTGCCTGCTTCACGTGCTCACTGTGACCACTTGCAGGTGTTTGATGAGCTGGACAAGATCGGCAGGTCGCTGGCAGAAGAAGCCCAAGATGGAGGCTTTCCAGTCCACGATGGAAAAGGAGACATCCGCAAATGCCCTTACTATGCAGACAAACTGGGTAGGTGGTGGCAAGGAGAGGGCTGCCATGGGCGTGTGGCACAGGGCTGGCAGTGCTAACGATGCTTTCTGTGTCCTGCAGGCATGGCAAGCCCCAGCTGCCCCTTCCACGCTGCTGTGGGCCTGGCCAGGCAGCCCCTGGTGCAGCTGGTGCTGGCAGCCTGCATGGCTGTGGCAGCAGGAGCTGCAGCCTGGTACATCCTGTGACAGACACAGTGTGTCTCTGCTTGGGGGCAAGGGGGGACATGTGCCCTGCCCTGTTTCCGACCTTTCCCTTGATGGTGGTGAGTTGGCTGCAGAGTGGGAGTAAGGAAATAAACAGGAATCCTGTGGGACTGTCCAAACCTCCTCGCACACCGCTGTAACACGAGGTCTTTAGCTGACCAGTGTACAGGACTGGTTGGTGCCAGGGGGTGAGGACTCCACTGCAGCACTGCCCTGCCCAGGCTGGGGCAGCTTTTAAGGCTAGAGATGTCCTGTCCTGTCCCGGCAAAGGCTTCACATGCTTGGCTTTTCATCTTCATCACTGAAGCAGTGTGTGGAGGAAGTTTCCTGCCCTGGGTTGCATCTGCAGAATGTCATCAGCCTTTCAAATGACAAGCACTTGCTTTCCTGCCCTGAGGAGCTGAGGCTGTGCCATGGGGCCGTTAGCTCCAAGGAGTGTCCTCTCTGGTGCAATGTCCTAGGACCCAAGTCTGAGTCATGTTGGAGGGAGCTCCCTGGGGATGGGGGCAGGACCATGGTGGGGTATGGAGGTGACAGATGTGTATTGTGCAACTTTGGGGTTGAGGGTTGGTTGTTGGTTATTTTTCCTGAAGCCTTGACTGGAATAAAAAGTTGCAATGCTGTAGCTGGGGCAAGCTAAAAGCACGTCATTGTGAAAATAGGGAGGCTGGGGAGGGGGTTAAGGGGGAGAAAGGGAGTGCAGTCCCTGAGAAACTCCTGCCCTAGCACCAGGCTGTCCCTGTTATTTCCCCTGGGGTTTCCATGTGGGGAGGTTCATTGCCACACTCAGAGGACACAGCCAAGGTGCTTGGGCCTTTCCCATGTTGAGGGGGTTCCTGGTAGAAGACCCTGCTGCTCTTCCTCCCATGCTTGGTATCTGTGTACCCCCACCCTCAGCCTCAGCGCCCCTACAGGCAGATACGCTGTGAATTTTGAGCAGGAGAGAAGAAAAGATGCACACGAGTTCAGGGTCTGTTATTTATTTACATAAAAACACTGACTAGTGCCACAGTTCCACCCCTGAGCAAACAGCAGCAGCCTGTGCAGGCCAGGCTGTGTTTGCAGACCTGTGTTCTGAGAGACGCCCCCCAACTTCGCTCTGGGAGCTGCAGGGGCAGGGGAGGAAGGAGCAGCCTCGAGAGGCTGAACTTGGCTCCCAGCTCCTCTTGCCCCTGCTGTGCGAGTGCTGCTGGCAGCTCCTGTCGCTGCCTGCTTGCCCCTTCTTTCTGCCCCACAGAAGCTAAAAATACCCCCTACACCACATGCAAGGAGAACCCTACAGACCCTGCCGGGCCCAGGACGGCTCCGGAGCTGCGGCCTGGGAACAAACTCCTCTACTCTACGTGCCGGGCAGCCAGGACATGCCGGGTGCGGTTTTGGCTCTCAGGTTGCCAGGGGGGCGAGGGCTGCTCGGGGCTGTCCCCGCCCCAGAGCCGCGGCGGGGCCGGGAGGAGGCGCATGCAGCTGGAGTGGGCGCCGGGCAGGACGGAGGTGCTGATAAGGGGGCAGTGCTGCTGCCGGGCCCCTCTCCGTGCTCAGAGGCAGCTCTGCCTCCGCTCGGGAAGGGGCTTTGCCGCGGGGCTGGAGGAGGCTGTGAACCACACGGAAACCTGGTGTGTGGCACTGCCCTGTCTCCTTGTCACTGAGCCCCTTCCTGAAAGTGCCACAAAGGCTGTGCTGCATCCCCTGAGGGCACCGTGGGCTGCATGGGTCCCTTCCTGGGCTCCCATCCCAGCACATCCCTGCAGCCAGGCACCCCCTGCACTGTGGGACTGGGGTGGGCACCTCCAGCAGCTGCTGCTCTTCCCAGGGTTGCTCCAGGTTTGAAGGGCCTCGCTCACACCCTGGAGCGTAATGGGGTGCAGAGCGCTGCCTCCCACTCCTGTGCACTGCAGGGCAGCCCCCACACAGCGTCTAGACCTGGGCCCACCTCCCCTGTGCACCAGTGTCACCAATCCAACTATTCCAAGTGAGGAGCAGAGCTGGGGGCAGGTGGTGGCAGCTCTGCGCGGGAGGGAGCCGGGGATAACACATACACACCACCGGCGGGGGAAGCGAGGGGTGATGCACACGCAGAGACGGACGGCAGCGGGACAGGGCCGGCGGCACTCCAGTGGCTCCCGGGTGCCGTTAGCACATGCGCTTGTACGTGTAGATGTAGGCCTTGCAGTTGGGACACGTGTGTGTCACGTCCTTGAAGTCATCGAACAGGCAGGGGATCAGGCAGCAGCAGAGATCACACCTGGAGCACAGGGAGAGGCAGAGATGCTGAGCTGGGGGAGCCCCTGGCCCTGGGGTTCGCTCCGGGCCACGGGCAAGAGGCATGAGTGGGGCTGTCACCCCAGGAACCCCTCTGCTGCTGCAGTGCCACCTCTGTGCCAAGGTCCCCACCATGCCCAACAGCTCAGCCAAGGTCACCAGCACTGGGGCTACCCAGGACCAGGCTGAGCAGCCAACGTGAGGCCCCAGCTCTACTTGCAGCACCTACCCCACAAAGCAGCAGAAGAAGCCAAGAAGGAAGCTCATGAGCCCAATCTCATAGGAGATCTTGGTGGTGATGGCTTGCTGGCAGTGGGGACACACGGTCTGCACCGGGGCACCCTGGAAGATCTCTCCCTGCAGCACCGTGACTGTGGTGGCAGCTCCCGGTGGGACGAGCACTGTGGCCGTGTGGCCACCAGGAGAGGGGTAGGGGCCTGGGGCAGGGTAGTAGCCCATGGGGGGGTGAGGGCCTGGGGGTGGGTAGTATCCTGCTGTGAATGGGAAACACAAACAAGTGAGCACCTTCATACATGGCAGGAGAGGCCAGATCCTTATTGGGGAGGCCCCCACCCTGCTGGAACACCACCCTTGGATTACAGACTCGGGGCCAGCCCTGCTACAGGCACTGTGCCCCCCAACCCATCCCAGTGAACCTCGCTGCAAGCTCCAAATGGCAGCCCCAACCCCCCTTGTGTCCCTCCCACTCCCCAGAGCACCAGGAAACACGTGCTGCTGCTGATGCCCAACCCCTTGCAGGACTCACCTGGTGGCACATAGGGCCCAGAGCCATCCGTGGGCATGTGGGGGGGCACAAACCCCGGCTGCGAGGGGGGCTCATATGGGGGGGGTCCGAACTCAGGAGGGGGGATGGGAACCCCCTGGGGCTGTCCCACCACGGGGGTGACACCCTCTGAAAGGAAACACAGTCAGCAGCCAAGGAGGCAGGAGGATGGATGGAGGGGAAGACAGCGTCCTGGCTGTGGGGTGTCAACCCCAACAGGGAAGGGAGACAAGAGGTGGGGAGCAAACACCCCCTTAAGCTGCATCCTCTGAGCCCCAAGAAACCCAAATTCACCCCACCCCACAGTAGGAAGCAGTGTCAAGCTTTGAGATGGGAGTGCTTCCCATTTTGTCATTGCCCCTAGGACCCCTCAGACCTCCCCCAGGGGTGCCATGGGGACAGATGGAACCAGGCATTGCACACCTTCCCCAGTCTGCTGTGAGACCAGGCCACAGCCAGGGCAGTCCCAGGGAAACCACACTTCCTTGGGTCCTGTCTGCTTGGCAATGTCCCCCCGAGCAGCTGGGACACCCCCAGTACCTGGTGCCGAGGGTGGGCCGTGCTTCTCTTCTATCAGCGGTGCCGAGGGGCCCCCCGGGTAGGGTGGGGGTGGATCGTTGGACATGGCTCCAGGCAGCCCTGCAGGGACAGAAGCCTTCAGGTGACACCAGCCTTTGGTGCACATGGAGCTGGCATGGTGCTTGGGGACAGAGGTGACAGGTAATGGAGGAGGCCAGGGCTGGTGCCACCACTGCACCAGCCTCAGCTTCTCCCCAGGCAGAACCAGGGGTGTGACCCCAAAGCTGGACAGGCTCTGATTCCAAGGCGTAAAATCTTCCTGCCAGCTCCATGGGGCTTCCCTGTAAAGCCCACCTGGTGCACAGCAGCTCATCAGGGCAGTGCTGGGCTGGAACATTCAGAGCCTTGGCTGCATTGTTGGGGTACCAAAGGTGGGGAAGAGCTGTCCACAGCCCCCACTCCACCCTCAGTGACACAATGCTGTGCCCTGAGGGCGGGCACAAACTCCAGGACAGAAGGTGCAAACCCACAGAGCATTTCTAAATAAATCTTTAAATAAACCCAGTGAGTTAAGACCGTATTTAACAGCTGGAGCTGTTATTTTACACGGGGTAGAATTTACCTGTCCTCTTCCCTGCAGCAACAGCTCAGAGGCCTTGACAGCTGAGAGCAGCAACTGCTCTGAGCAGTGCAGTCTGAAAGGCGGCTTCTTCCACTGGATCTGTGTAAAAGGAGACAGCAACTGAATTACAGAGATGGAGGAGCCACAGCTGCCACACAAAACCCCTTCTCTTCCCTGGGCAGGAGCCTCCCCCTGTGCTCCCTCAAAGGCAGGCATGAGGCTCTGTGTCCTTGGCATGTGGCAAAGCCCCACAGACATGCTTTGAGATCCAAGGGAGTACAACAATACCAAGAAACCTGATTTCCCCCTGGTTCAGTTATCCTGGTGGGATGTGACTAAATCGGAAAATACAAGTGAGAGGTTGGTCACTGAGTGCTTGGGACAGGGTGACATTGCTGTCAGAGCCCATGGAGCAGCACTGGGAGCTCCATCCTTCACCCCAGCAAGCCAGGAGCAAATATGACCCTGCTTGTCCCACTGCTGGCTCCACTGCCACGTGCTGGGCAGCCAGCCCAGAGCACGCCAACCTCCCCAGCACGGCACAGGCACCAGGCCAGGCAGCAGTGCTGCCCCAGCCCTGCATTGCAGGTGTGCCCACAGAGGTGCCCGTGGGGCTCAGCCACCTCCACCTGCAGCTGCTGGGTCAAGCAGAGCCAAAGACTTGGAAGCAAGGCAGGAAGATCCATCCCTCCCTCACCTGCATGGCTTTGCTTTGTTCTACTCCTTTTTTCCTAGTTCCTGCTCCCTGCCACCGAGCAGCCTCCTGCAAGGTATCAGGAAATTTAATCAGTCCCTAGAGGAGCACCATCACCTGTTGCTGCTCACAGAGGAGCACACTGATCCCCCAGGAGCTGAGCAGACTCCTGATAGGCACAGGGATGTCTGTATTTCCTGACTAGGAAATTTCTCCCCCAAGGTCTGAAGTGGTGTTGCAGCCGCACAGCTTCAAAGAGTAACACTGGGGCAGCTGGGGGTCATCTTCCTCCTGCTTCTCACTCCAGTTTCTTCCTTAAGAGCCCAGGGAAGCAGAGTTGCCATGGCACAGAGCATTTCCAGGCACACTGCAGAGCCTGCCTTCTCCTACAGTGACCTACAAAGCTACAAACTGGGCCATGCTCCTTTTAGCTCACTGGAGATGTGAAGAAAAGAAAGATTTATTCTTCTCAAAGTAGCCAATGCTGCACATCCAGAAGCCTCAGTCCTTCCTGTCCCTATGCCTGCAGGGGTTCTGGATGATCCCAGTCCAACCACAGCATCCCAGAGTCCTTACCTGGGGACACCAGCCTGCCAGGGAGCTTTCCTTGCCCTGACAGGCCAATTGTGCCCACAGCTTTTCTAACACAATAGATCTCCTCCCATTCCTGCTCAGATGCTGTTTTCCCATAATAATCTTTCAACACTCCCCAGCCTCACTCCCCCCATCAAAGCGGCTGGCAAGAAA